TTCCAAGATGGAGGAATTGAGCAATCGTAAACAGATGGATTCTGCAGAAGGTAGCGTATATTTACCATATTTTGGGGCGGGGTGCAATTTTTCAGGTACACCATGAAGTGTGTTATCAGTTCGTAAAGTGTCAAGACTTGTAAAGCAAAGAAAGGTGCAAAAATGTGCCTGAAAACACGTCCCGCGACTCATGTGTTTAGAGAGCCTCCGGATGTAACGGTTTTCCACTGCACATACAGTCGCCCATTCACTCATTTGTCACATTATGTCCACAACAACCCTCCGCAAACATCGTTGTTGTTGCGACTTATATAGGACGAGCATGCTTCGTGCTGCCAAAGGGAATGACACGACACCCTAGCCAACCACAGTCCTGAAAGAACATGCCTGTATAAATGGTGGAACGCCAATGGCGCAACATGTCCACGACATGGCATGCATGCATGGGAGGGTCATACGTGTGTTCTTCTCACTTCCTATTATTCTGCCGTCATTCCTGTTTGAGAAATATTGTGAAAGTGAAGAGCGTTGTTCCTACTTTGCATTTTCAACAACAGACAAGCCTTTAAAATAGTAGCTCTGTAAAAAATGTAAAACTGGTAACATGCGCCACCCTTGAACTATCAAAGAAAATTAAGCTTCTGATTATTACAGAAAAATGCTCATGCTTAACTTCAAATGTGCGGCAGTCTGAAATTGTATTCTGCACATGTTTTACAGCATTTACAGAAGAATTTGTTAGAATAGATAAGTTGCACTTGTAGTCCTGTACCAAATGCTTTATCATATCAAAGCTGATCATGAGTGGTGTCAACATTACAGTGGCAGAGATCACAAGACCTTGTCAGGAAATACAATCCGTGCATGTAGAGATGGTTGGCCAGTGTTTTGCACAAGTTGCTAAACCGTTCTGGACAGTACATGTATACCGGGTATTTACATGCACTATTGTGTATCGCCAGTATCTGTATACATGTATCAGCTTTGAGAATGGCAGGACATTGGTCTAATTGCTGAATTACAGAAAGGGTTAACCCCCAAATTTGATAGCTACAGTCTTAGCTACACCTGAATTTTATAACTTTTATAAGACGTTAACCAATGGGTGAACCAAAACTTCAGTATATTAGAATAATGCACACTTTCCAAGTATTAGTACTAGTAGTAACGTTAGCTATTGTTGGCATGATCATGATGAATGATAATTTTTTTTATAATGCAATCCTGGTAACCCATAGATTATAGTTAAGGGGATCATTGGGCCAGTACCTGGCTTGGGCATGCAGACAGACAGGTATACCTTTTCATTTTACCCCAGAAAGATCAAAGTCTAAAGTCTTTAGTGAAATCATTCATCATAACTCTCTGTTGATTGGCAACCTTTGACCTTTACTACAGGTGGCATGATGTGTTGTACATGTACAATACGCATGACGTTCCCATAACTTGTAGACATATATTGTATGAAAGTGGACTTATTGCAAAATAATGAGTACATACTAAGAAGGTAAGGTTTCAAAATTCGAAGACCAAACAAATTACACGATAGCATCTCAGCTTGTATCATTCCTAACATTGCTGGTTAAATGGTAATGGCAAGCAATTTCCCTCTATTGATATTGTAGGTATTTATCAATGATTGCATCTAATACCAGTGTACCATGTTTGCATTTTGATTACTCAATTTCTAACTCTAAGTACTTACAGTGCTGCGCAGTGCTCATGATGATATGTGCACGTTCATGTTTTTGGTGAATCCAGTGTCTATCAGCTAGAGATCTCCTGGACACCATCCATTGAGCCAGCATTCAATATCTGGACTTACATGTACATCAGAACAGTTTGATTCTGCTATCTACTTGTAGGTAAGGCGTGTACCGAGTGCATGCTGTGGTCATGGTGGTGACATTATCCTAACAATAGGGATATCGCTTCTGCAAGAACCTTACATGGCCTACCACGCTTGCAAAGCATGTTCACACTCACAGGGGAGCAACATCAGACTCATAGCAGTTTTACTGGTAGTTATATCACAGTGTTTTTAATTGTTGCATGAAACATGTACAGTACATGTACGCAAAATGTATAAATGTTTCTGTACATGTATTTGTAGCTTGGTATCCAAATTTAGTATTATAGCTGCTAAGTCTCTTTCGCGCCCTCTGCAAATGACTCGGCAGCTATAATGAATTTAGATATCAGGCTAATGTATTTGCTGTATATGTCTTAAAAGTCAGTAGTGTATGTACCTTAACTTAAGGTTAAATATGTTCTGCTTTCTTTATGTTCTTTGTTACAGAAAACATGTCTGCAGAAGACACCATCGGGCTGAACGGGAGACCCATCCCTGTAGTCCTGGCCAACTCGGACGACCACACCTTTGAGCTTGATGAGGAGGCTCTTAGGTCAGTACTCCTCAAGGACCACATCCAGGACAAGAAAGTGGTCGTCGTTTCTGTTGCTGGTGCCTTCCGTAAGGGAAAGTCATTTCTGCTCAACTTCTTCCTGCGGTACCTGAAAAGCAAGGTAGGAAAGAACAATTCATAACAATAACATGTTCTCTGTGGACTTTTT